AGATGACAGTGGCAGACAAAAAAAAAATCTGTCCTGCTACCAAACATGAGTTCAAAGATGCATCATCTATAAGGGAAAACAAAAAACAATAATATAAAATTTCGAGGAAAAATCACCTCTATGCAGAGTCTTATTCAAATACCAAGTAACAAAAATAAACGAAACCCTGTGTACTGTTTTACTGACATCTTCAAGCAAACATTGGATCTACCAAGGATAAGGCTTTGACCAGGTCAAGATATACCATGGTAACACATAGAATCTGCCTATGAAAACATATACTACAAAACACTGATGGAATGCAGCCATTGGTTAGAATTGACACATGTGCATTGCCAACTGTAGAAAACAAAGGTCTCAATACTCTCACGCATATACTCAATCAATCTAGAAAATAAAACACATAAAATTCTCTACAAGGTTTGCAACAGTGATTGTCTTTAATGAAAAAAAAATGAATTTAGAAATTTTCCTAAATAAAACTGGCTAAGATCATTCATACAAATCACATAATAGTACACACCTTCAAATAAACATGTTTTTAAATTGATGGAAACTCTAGGCCATTTTAATAAAAAAATGTTCAGATATTACATGATAAATCTAAGATGCAGCTGTCACAGTGTGTTTGAACAGACATCATTATCACAAATAATGTTGGAGGGAAACATAGTGCCTATAAGGAATGGCCTAAAGGCACCAGTGATCTTTAGTTCTCCAGGGAGATCAGAAGACCAGTATCCTCCTTGGCAGTCTGGTTGGTAATAGGCAAATAAGTATCCCTCAGACCACAGCTACATCAGGTCACCACAGTAGATGCTATAGAAGTTCATGGTATCAGGAGAGGAAGACTCAGTTGTACAGCAGGGGCAGGCTCTAGGGTTTTAAGTTCATAACATGCACAGGGCTTTGTAAACAAGCTGAGTAGTATGTGGGGCCAACCATAGGCACTGTTGGGTTCACATTCTAAACTAATTAGCATTGAAGCCATCTAAAATAGTTCTTGGCACCAACATACCCAAGATAACTTTGCTATTTATGTGTGAAGACATAGATAATGATATGATGTACCTTTAACAAGAGACTCTTTTATTTTGGTGACTTATTCATTCCAGATGCCAAATTTAAATTATATTAGTAGCTACTGTGAGATCATAACCAATACAGATTTCCCTTCTTGCAAGTCTTTTTTTCACTTTTAAAGGTATCCTCCTTTGTATCTTCACATATGTAGTTTTTGGAATGAAAGCATGACTTTAAGACAATAGGGAAGGATGGGAATCTCGTGGAGGAAAAGACAAGATTCCAGATTTGATTTGTAAATTCTTGAATGATGATGTTTTATTATTTTCTTGTGAAGCAACATTATTCACTTTGATTTATCCTTCATATGTATACACCCTATAATTTTGTGTAGAGTCCAAAGCAATGGCATAGTCAGTCTCTGAAATTTCAGCAGATGGGGCATGGTTATACACAAAGGGTTATATTCAAAATTTGTTTTTGTAAGACTTGCATTTTATTGACATCATAATTATGATCTAATGAAATAGACGCATCTCTTCTTTGTGTATTCTTACCCAAAATGTATAGCTATACCTAGTGGTAAGAAAAGGAGAAGCTCAAATTAGAACATTCTATAAAGCATTTCTCTTCAAATTTGTCAATATAGCTAAAATCAAGCAAGACTAAAAATTTATGGCTAATAAAGAGATGTGCCAAACAAGTGAAATCCTAGATTGGCATCTGGGACAGAAAAAAAATAGTAGTGGAAAAATGGTGAAATCTGAATAAAATTGTTGTTTAGTTAAAAATATTGTAAAGGATTAATTTTTCAGTTTTTGAAACTATATTATGAAAGATATGAACTGAGTGAGCAGTGGAGATCAAATCTCTTCGACTTTTCCCAAGTCTAAAATTATTTCAAAATATGGTTGGAAATGAATTTTTAATTGCAAATTGAAGGCAATGATTTGGTCATTCATTAATTCTTTCATGTATCAGATTTTAAGTGGTCATTTGTATGTTGGACACTATTGTAAAAGGTGGGGGAAGTTAACAGGACAGAAAAGGTCCCTATTGTTACAGATCTTAGATAAGCCAAGGTGACAGGTACTTCTAAATATGTGGTCAAGAAAAACCTCTCTGAGAGAACAAGAGAGAAGGGAAGAGAAAGATTTTGCTGTTACTTTCAGAGGGGAGTAACTCAATGGCAGAAGCTTTAATCAGAAATAAATTTGATCATTCTGAAGAGTCTGAAGGCTATTGTTATCTGTTTACCATTAGAAGAAACAGTGTTGAAAAATCTCTCCTACATAAAGCCAAGGCTGTTGCAGTGCAAGCAATAAAGGCCATGTAATCCAAGCCTCAGGTGCCAGGCCTAGCAATGAAAGTTACAGGGCATGCAGTTACACCTGATTTTCAGATAAATAATGTTATATGCATTTCCTAGTACAATATTTGAAAGGTTCACATTTTGAATATCAATATTCCAAAATTTGTATTTAACTGAGTGTCTACTATAATATAGACAACAATATAGAAAGGCATTGAAGAATTTTTTTCAGCATAGGTTCTTGGCTGAATGTATCCTGCATATATTCGGATGTAGAAAAAATGAATAAAAGAGATTTGGGAGCATGGAACATTGTGAATTTAGCATCTTGATAATTTTAACCATGTGAGGACATGTCAAGTGATAATTTGGAGATAGATATCTATAGATCAGGATTGGAAATGTATTATGAGATTAATACTGCAGAAGTATATATCCAACTAGAGAGAGGTAAAGTAGAGAATATAAAGTGACTAGTACCTGCATGGACTCTTTCCTATTTGAGGGTAAAATCTGAAGAAAATAAAAGAGAAAAGTTACTGAACAGGAACAGCTGGTGAGATTGTAATTAAATCTAATGTTTGAAGGAATATGAAGGGAAAAGCTGGGTAGATTTTTAGGAATGAAAAAAGAGTTTGATAAATCTCAGCACAACTCAGGCAAGATGGAGGTTTTAGTGATCCTTGTAAGAGGAGTTTTTCAGTGGAGTGGTACGAACTAAAGCAAAAAGATGTGAGAGAGAGGAGACTAAAAATACACCATGGGGATACATGTGAAATTGTGTGATGAACAGAAAATAAAGATTTTTCTGTCATTTCTCCTTTTGCTCGCACCCTCCTCCCCCACTGTGAAATATTCTTAAGAACTCAATATAGATCAGAAAATCCTAGCAGGAAAAAAGTTAAATAGAAATCTCATTGGGTTAATGCTTTGCTATTATGATTAGAGAGAGGAACTTAATTCTTCTGAAGAAAGAAATTAAACTTCAAGCAGGAAGTTCGGTAGAGAAATAATTCAGTAAACATTATTAGGGATATTATATTTCACAAAATGTCTTCACAGCTATTTTGGTTTAATGCAGAAAAAGTTAATTACAGATTTTTAATTGACAGATTCAGTATACTTATGCCAATTTCAAGTAATTTTTCTAAGAACTTAGCCAACAGGAAGACTGACCATCATGTTCCTTAAGTTAGTATTAACCAAAAGATTATTCTAAGCTATTTCTTCATTAACTTTGCACTAGGATAACTTGAGAACACTCTTATTATCTCTATGTGAAATATGAAAATGATATGGTGAAGATATTCTCTAATTCTATCACTTCAAATCAGCCAGTATTAATACAATAAAATGTCATAATGTGTCTATTTAAAACAATTAATCTATCAAGGGATACACATGGAAAGAACAATCATAAACACGCATTAGATGAATATGTGTTTGATCTAATCATTGCTATGATTGTGCAGGGCATGTGTATGTGGGTGCACACACGTGTGTATTCCTTGGTATTTCTTGGTTTTAATGGTAGGAGGGATTAAACCCAGGGCCATGTGCATGCCAGGCAAGCATGTACCACTGAGCTTCATAACCAGCCCACCATGAAAGTATTTTATTAAGACACATCTTTTTTTTCATTTGATATAAATAAGGTGTATTGGCAATGTGGATAATATCATTCGCTCACATTCACACTTCTATAGACATGAAAGTACATTTTTCAACTAAAGTGCAGATTATTTCCACATTCTTCTGCATCCAATAGGAGTAATTACCAGAATGAATTTAATGAAGACAGTAATAATTCTTGGGCTATTCAAGTGAACTCAGCCTATCTGTCACAAGTAGAATAGTAGCAGGATATCTTATATGAAGGCTTTAATATACTGATAAACATGAATTTTTATGATAAGCTCATTGAGAAATTAGTTACCTAGGATATAATGCTAATATTCACTGGAATATTAACTAATCACTGTATACTCAGTTTGGAAAAATACAGGGAGAAATTGGATACCAGGGAATAACTTCCTTTTTATAATACTTCAACAGAAATTAAACATAAATGAGACTTACTCTCAATGTTATAAATGGAAAAGTCTAATGCATTGTGTTCAGATGTGGTTTTCTCAGAAAACTAATTACTTGGGTGATTATTAGCATCATGGGGTTGAAAGATACATTTGGTTTCAGCATAGAAAAGGCATTAAATACCAGATAAAGAAAATTAGTTTTCTTTGAGAGACAAGAAAAAGTCATGAGTCAAAAAATAGTGTTTTAAAAAATGTTTTAAATGAAGAAAACATTGAGGTACAAAACAAATAGATTATGGTTCAGATTATTACTTCTTATGTAGAGGGTACTTAAAAGAGATTTTGAAAGTTCTGTTTGAGGCAGGATTGTACAAAGTTATGTGTCTCCTCTCATTGAAACCCTAAATAGGATAAGCAGATTCCAAACTAGAGACCAAACAAGCCAAGCCTCTTTAATGCCTCTGAGCCTTTATCTTATGGTCGAAAAACAACAAAATAATTAGATTAGTCATAAAATAGGGCGGTGGCATGAACACATGTGGTGGGTCCCACCCATACTGAAGGTATATAAAAGGCCTTCTAAGGGACACTTGTCCAGACTCGTCACCTACACTCCTCCTCTACCCAAGGACAAACTCTCCACTCAACAACCAACACCATGTGTGACAGCTACTATGGAAACTACTATGGCGGCCGTGGCTATGGATGCTGTGGCTATGGAGGCCTGGGCTATGGCTATGGAGGCATGGGCTATGGCTATGGAGGCCTGAGCTGTGGCTATGGCTGTGGCTTCCGCAGACTGGGCTGTGGCTATGGCTGTGGCTATGGATATGGCTCCCGGTCCCTCTGTGGCTGTGGTTATGGATGTGGCTCTGGCTATGGCTCTGGCTTTGGATACTACTAAGGAGGAAGCCTTGGGAGACTGTTTTAATACCTGTGACACAGGATTCTACCAATTTTGAACCCCACACATCCTGAACTTCATGCTTCGATGAGTACGTTACACCAAAAGTTCCCAATATCACCTTGCTGAAGATTTGCCCTATGGTGGTCCCTAGATCTGACTTCCCTCTTTGTCCTTCTGTGATTTGAACACACGAGTAGTGGAAGAATATGAAATATATCCTGCGAATTCTGTATTGTCCCGGGGACTGATGCTATCCCAGACCCTGTCTTTTGATTTTTTATGCAGGAGTATTTTCTTTATTTTCCCAATAAATGTGTTCAATCTGAAATAACATTTGTGGTTTTTTTTTGTTTCATTCGAAATCTACTACTTCTTTTTTTAATTTAATTTAATTTTTTATTAGCTACACATGACATTACAATGATCTTGGCAATTCATACATTTGAATCATTGGGGTATAATTTCTCATTTTTCTAATTGTAGATTGCAGAATCACACTGGTCATAGAGTCACCTATATACATACAGCAATCATAATGTCTATTCTACTACTTCTTTTTCTGTTTGCATTAAAAGAAAAATTATCTTCTTTTTATTTCTAGAAATACATATGTTCATCTACTTTCCAAAAATGAATCTACCAATAGATAAATACAGAAAGAAAATTCAACTTTATAATATCCTTGATTTCTGACAATAGTATCTAATAATCTTGTAACCTACAACTTCCTGTTCTGATGAAGCAACAGTGGTATTATGATGGGTGGTTGTTAGTATGAAAGGAGTTAGTGTTTATCTATTTCATTGACCACTGTCTGAAAACTCTATACATTCCAAGGGCTGTTTACCAAATCTTGATCTGTGTGAAATCCTTTAGAAGATATGAATAATGACACATGATTTTGTATTTCTATTATTAATTAGGGGCATATTAAACAAGAGTTCGCTATGTTTTCCCAGAACATGAGATATAAAAGTTTACACTGATCCCTTTCATTTATCTTTATATATGTTAATATAGTTTACATTTTTCTTGAAAAGGTGCCATCTTCTCTTAAATTCATTTACATGTTTTTAATTGTAGAACTAAAATCATGGCATTCTATATTCCTTTGTTTCTTGAAGGTTTAAGATTTTGAATAAAGTTTTAGAAATATAGGACCTATAATGGGCAGGAGGAAGAACAGAATTTCAGTACATTAGACAAAGGGGAATGAAGGGAAAAGAGTGGGAATTAGAATGGGAAAGACAGTGGAAGGAATCTGACAAAATTTTCCTATGTACATATATGAAAAATCCTAAGCAAACCCAATATTATATACATCCACAAGTATGGGTTCCTAATTAGAATAAGATATAATTGTGCATGCATAATTCCATCAGAATGGATTCAACTGTCATGTGTAACTAAAAAGAATCAACAAAAAAGGACCAATTACAAGACAAGGAACTAGTTTTACTTTATAGAATAATAGGGGTTATCTGATTAGCTCTCCCTGGAGGGCTGGGTCTGCAATCCTCAAGGAGTTTTCTCCTCTCAGTAGAGGAGTGGAGATGGCTGAGTCTGTAATGTCCAGGCCTGTGCAGCCTGTTCCAATGGAGGGAACTAACCTCCCAGGCAGTGGGGGAGGGCTGGCCGGCCTTACCCCCCCTGTTGCAGACCAGCAAGCTGACCTAGAGCCAAGCTCTAAGAGGCAGCTTGAGCCCTGGACATTATTCCTATGAAGGGGAGATGGCTCACTGCACAGAGTTATGTGAAGCAGAAGAGGGTACAGGAAACAGACGTCATCACTAAGAGGCCCGTGTGGCACAAAGGGATGTTGTGTATGTACACACAGGGCCTAGGAGGGCTACCTTAGCTACTTGTGGCTGGATGACTTTGTTCCTTGTTTTGTATTTTTCTATTTCATGTAATGCACACATTAACTGAAAAAAAAAGTCTTTAAAAAATATTTATAGGAGCTATCAAAACAATTAATATTCACAGCCCTGGAATAGCAAATAATGGGGGAGAATAAATTGATATAGAAATCTACTTAAAGAAATGATATTTTAAATGTCGCCAATTTGTTAAAAGTCAGAAATATACAGAGGTAAAGGTTATAAACCCAATCAGATTAAATTTAAAGGAAATTATATCTAGTTATATTATATTTGAGTTTTGGAAACCAAAAAACAAACATTAAAAAAAAAACTTGAAAGCAGCTAATGATAAGCAACACATTACTTATAAGGAATAATGAATTACCATGGCTTTCTCAGGAGAACCTATACACTCCAAAGAGAATGAAAAACAACTAAACTGCTGATAGAAAAAAACCTAATACTCTATATCCAATAATATCAGGGACAAAAGTGAAATAATATCTTTCTCAGATGAAGGAAAAATAAGAGAAATTTGTGTTTACAAAATCTTTTCTAAAAGAAATGTTAAAGGAACTTTTTCAGGCTAAAAGAAAAATGATCCTAAATGGAAAGTTGGAACTTTAGAAACAAACAAAAAGAAATAGAAAATTATAAGCATTTAGGTAAATAGAATAGATTATTTTCCCTTATAATTTCTTTAAAATTCATGTAACAGGAAACAAAAAAATTACAATATTGTATGAGGGAGTTTGAAGTTAGGTTGATGTATGACAAATATAACAATAAGAAGCAATAGTAAAAGTATCTAAAATAAATCTTACGCCTTTTAGCTAAAGCAAAATATGAATTCAGAACATTGTGAATGATGAGTTATGAAAATCATAATCACTGGAGTAATCTCCAAAATTAAAGAGATGTAGCCAAAAATATAATAGATAAATTAAAATATAATATTAAAACATTCACATATGAAAAATGTGGGCAGAGAAAATAGAAACAAATACCAAAACGTTATTATGGTTTGGATATGAAATGTCCCCTAAAATTCACATGTAAGAGTTTTCTGACATAAAATGATTAGATTATGTCAGGTGGAACCTGATCAGTGCATTAATCCACTGATATGGATTAAATGGGCAGTAATTATAGGCAGATCAGGTGTAATTGGAAGAAGTACATCTTTGGGTGAATTCTTTGAGATTTTTATTTTGTGCCTCCTGAGGGGGACTTTCTCTTTTTCTCTGTTCCCTAGCTGCTGTGTACTGAGCTGCTTCCCTCCAACACGCCCTTCCTCCATCTCCTCACTCCATCTCAGAGCTGTGGAGCAGGCCAAGCATGGACTGAACCTGTGAAACCATGAGCCAAATAATGTTTTCCTCCTCTGAGTTTTTCTTCTTTCAGGTGTATTGGTCACAGTAACAAATGTTGAATAAAATGAATAGTCTAAACAATTTCAATCAGAGCAATAACTAAATGAATGTGAATTCTCTAACCATATAATTAGAATACACAGACTATCAAATTGCCTAATATCAGATTCATCTATATATTGTCTATCAGAAAATATCTGTGTGTGTGTGTGTGTGTGTGTGTGTATGTGGTTCTAGGGATTGAGCCAAGGGGCACTTTACCACTGAGCTACATCCACAGTACTTTTTATTTTGAGACAGGTTCTTGCTAAGTTGCTTAGGGACTCACTAAATTGCAGAGGCTGGCTTTAAACTGGTAATCCTCTTGCTTCAGCCTTCTGGAGTCCCTGGGATTACAGATATGCATCACCATGCCATGCTAAAAAATAGCTTCTAATATGTAGTAAAACAAAAAAGAAAAAAGAGTGAAAAACTGTTAAAAAATTTTCCTGTAATTACTGTTTCGTATGAAAAGCTGTACATGCAAAGAGTAACCAAAAGAATGCAGATGTGTCTGTCTTAATATCAGAACAATTAGACTCATTATATGGAAAATTACTTGAAACTCTGTAGTTTTTACCTGATGTGCAATGACAATTAAAAATAATATTAAAATATCAGGCAAAAACTCCCAGATACTTCTCATTTTATGTTTTTACATTTGATAATCAATACTTGTCTTAGTTTGGGTAAATGCTAACACATAAATATAGACTAGTCATTCCAACTAGAATCCATAAAAATTATCAATGGATATGGATCCTATCATGTGAAGAAAATTTCAAAATATGAAGCAAAATCTGAAGAAGTAATCACATGCACAATTATATTGGAAAATTTATCCATCTCTCTCTGTAATCAGTACAAATAAACAGATATTTAACATAGAAATTAGAAAACAATTAACTTCATATAATTGACATGTATACAGCACTCTCGAAGTGACCTCAGAATACAAATTTTGTGATATGTAACACATTCACTATGATAGATAATATTTTGTATAATAAAACAGGCAAAATGAATTTTAAAAGTTGAAATTATACAAAGTTTGTTACAAAATCATTAAGGAGTTAGACTACAAATCAATAAGGTAGCTGAAAATTCCATAATAATTAAAAAGTAAATGTTACTTTTATATAACAAATGAGTCCCTTGTTATAAAAAGAATATTTAAAATATTTTGAACTCAATGAAAGTGAATTTAGAATGTATCAAAATATATGAGATGAGAATAAAGCAGTGCATAAAGGAAGATGTATGGGGTTAAGTGCTTATATATTTAGAAAAAAGAAATTTCTCAAATTTGTAATTCAAGCTTCTTCCCAAATAATTTGTAATTTTTAAAAAAAAAAAAAAAGTAATACAAAAATAAACATCAGGATTCAATACAAATTGAAAATAAGGAAAACAAAAAGTATAAATAAAGCCAAAAGTTGATTATATGAGAAGTTCAATTAAGTCAATATATCTCTGGAAAGGCTAACAAAGAAACTGGAGAGAAGACATATGCTGTCAACAGTAAGAATAAAAATGGACCATCACTATAGGTTCTATAGTAATGAAAAAGAACGATAATGAAACAGAGGAAATAATACCCGTGCCCATAAATTCAACAACTTAGAAAAAGTTTTATACTGTTTTATACTGTAAAAGGCATAAAATACCAAAACTTGCTCAAAATGATAAAATGTCTGAATAGTTGCACAACTAACTGAATTATATAATTTGTAATTAAAATTCTTCCAACAATGAAAACTTCTGGCCCATATAATTCTGCTGAAAGGTAAGTCATATTTCCAACATTGTAACAAATATCTGAGTTAAACTTGTAAAGAGAAACAATTTTGACTCACAATTTAGGACGTTCTAGTCCATGATTAATAGACTTTGTTACTTTGGGCCTGTGGCAAGGAAGTGCATCATGGTAGAAGTATGTTGCAGAGTAAAACTGCTCATCTCCTTTCCAGGAAGTGAAAAAGAGCAAGGAATATACTCTGATACCCCACAATGTTCTTCAACATCATGCCTCAGTGAAGGTTAAAAAGGTTAAAAAATCTTCCCATCTCTGGGAGACACTCTTGATCCAAACTATAGAATTCTGCCCCTCACCTCCAAAGGTTCATGTAGGTCTCAGAATGCAAAATGCATTTAGTCAATTCCTCAAATCCCAGAATCTTAACTGTTCAGAATTGCTTAGAATTCCAAGTCCAAAAATCCCCTCTGAGACTCAAGGCAAATTCTGTTATCAGCCCCTGTAAAAATCAAGAGTGTTGCATACTTCCAAAATATAATGCTGGACGTACAAGGCATAGATAGGGTAAACATTTCCTCTTCCATAGGCAAGCAATAAGGGCAAAGAAAGGAAAGTTTAAACCCAAACAAGACCAAAACCCAGCAGGGAAAACAGAATTAAATCTTTTATCCTCATGTCTGGTATATAGGGCTCACTACAGCAGGATGGGAAATTCCAAGGTTTGGGGTAGCCACACCCCTAGAAGTCTTTGCTGGTTATAGTCCATATGGCCATTTTCTTGGGCTAGCTCCACTTGTTGTCTACCACTTCCCTCTGCAATTGTTGTGTATAGTTGACATCTCTGTCCTTGTGGAGTCTCCATTATAGCCTCAGCTTTACTCTCACTGGAGGCTGCCTGTAAAGACTGACTCCAAAACCTATTTCCTGGAATCCAAGGTTTGCCTTTGAAATCTTAATGGAAGTCTCCATGACCCCAAACTCTTCCGACACAAATAATCAGCATCATGTGGAAAAGGCTGAGGTCTGTCACTGGTGAGAATTGCACCCCAATAAAACCTGGTTGCAACAGTCTCTGAGCACTCTGATGGCTAAATACAGGGAAACAAATACCTAGGAACTTTCAGTGCTCAGGATATTCCAGTACTCCTTTGTTAAATGTAAATCTTTGTAAGAAATTTCCATTTCTGTACCTTTGAATCTGTGATGGTATGTCTTTGCCAATTCCTGGTGTGCCTTCAAGCCATTTTTCCTATAAGCCTTGTACAAAGCACTCTCTTTGACCAGAATCTTACACACCTTTTTCAGTCAAATCGTAAGTTTTTCAAATCTTTCCACCACATAAATTAATCCACCACCCTTAAAATTAGCATCTCACAGTTTCAGAGTACAGAGAGAAAAAAAAATCCAATTCTATGTGACAGTTCAATAGGAGTTGACTCTATTCCAGTCCCAATAGAATACTCATTTTCATCTGAATCATCACCAGCATGATCATTACTATAAACATTTCTATCAGCATTCTGATCTTCAGAGTCTCCAAAAGAATCGCCCAGTAAGCTCTGCCTATAGCATTGTAGACATTTAAAAAAAATTGGCTTCTTCCAACTATGCCAAATTCCTCCTAAAAACCAATACCAAAGGCTCCAAAACATCATCAGATTTATAATAAAATCAAACACCCCACTCATGTTAAAAAAAAAAAAAATTCTGATAGTCAGCTTTTCATCTCTTAGACAAATATTTGAGGTAAACTTATAAAGACAAAAGGTTCATTTTGTATCACAATTTTGGAGGTTTTATTCCATTGTTCACTAGCTTCTTTGCTTCGAGATTATGGTGAGGTACTGCATGATGGCAGAAGCCTGTAGTAGATCAAAACCACTCACCCCACAGCCAAGAAGAGAAAGACAGTAAACAAGAGACTTGGGTCCCACAATCCCCTTCAGGAGCACATTCCTAATGACCCAAAGACCTCCCACTCAGCTTTACTCCTTAACATTTCTACCACCTCCAAATAGTGCCACACTGAGGACAGAGCTTTTACCACTTGGACATTTGGGGAGCACTTAAGATTCAAATAGAATAGCTGATAAACTCCACCAGCCAATACCATTTACATTGGGATTTCTGCAGAAAAAAAAATACAGAAAAAAAAAACAGCAAGAAAGGAAGGGAGAGAAGAAGAGAGAGAAAAAGCAAGAGGAAGAGGATTAAAAAACGTAGGCATTCCTGAAAATCAGCGACAAATCTTCTGAAATGGAAATGAGGACAACCACCCCATTCACAATATCCTCAAAAAAATAAAATAAAATACTTGGGAATCAACCTAACAAAAGGGGTGAAAGATTTATACACTGAAAACTACAGAACCCTAAAGAGAGAAATAGAAGAAGATCTTAGAAGATGGAAAAATACACCCTGTTCATGGATAGGCAGAACTAACATCATCAAAATGGTGATATTACCAAAAGTTCTCTATAGGTTTAATGCAATGCCAATCAAAATCCCAATGGCATTTCTTATAGAAATAGATAAAGCAATCATGAAATTCATATGCAAAAATAAAAGACCCAGAATAGCAAAAGCAATTATAAGCAGGAAGAGTGAATCAGGCGGTATAGCAATACCAGACTTCAAACTATACTACAGAGCAATAGTAACAAAAACAGCATGGTACTGGTACCAAAACAGGTGGGTGGACCAATGGTACAGAATAGAGGACACAGAGACCAATCCACAAAGTTACAACTATCTTATTTTTGACAAAGGGGCTAAAAGCATGCAATGGAAGAAGGATAGCATCTTCAACAAATGGTGCTGGGAAAACTGGAAATCCATATGCAACAAAATGAATCTGAATGCCTTTCTCTTTCCATGCACAAAAGTTAAGTCAAAATGGATCAAGGAGCTGGATATCAAAACAGAGACTCTGCATCTGATAGAAGAAAAAGTTGGCTCCGATCTACATATTGTGGGGTCGGGCTCCAAATTCCTTAATAGGGCACCCATAGCACAAGAGTTAAAAACAAGAATCAACAAATGGGACTCATTCAAAATAAAAAGTTTTTCTCAGCAAGAGAAACAATAAGAGAGATAAATAGGGAGCCTACATCCTGGGAACAAATCTTTACTCCTCACACTTCAGATAGAGCCCTAATATCCAGAGTATACAAAGAACTCAAAAAATTAAACAATAAGAAAACAAATAACCCAATCAACAAATGGGCCAAAGACCTGAACAGACACTTCTCAGAGGAGGACATACAAACAATCAACAAGTACATGAAAAAATGCTCACCATCTCTAGCAGTCAGAGAAATGTAAATCAAAACCACCCTAATATACCATATCACTCCAATAAGATTGGCAGCCATTATGAAGTTAAACAACAACAAGTGCTGGCGAGGATGTGGGGAAAAGGGTACACTTGTACATTGCTGGTGGGACTGCAAATTGGTGTGGCCAATTTGGAAAGCAGTATGGAGATTTCTTGGAAAGCTGGGAATGGAATCACCATTTGACCCAGCTATTCCCCTTCTCGGACTATTCCCTAAAGACCTTAAAAGAGCGTACTATAGGGATACTGCTTCATCGATGTTCATAGCAGCACAATTCACAATAGCTAGTCTGTGGAACCAAACTAGATGACCTTCAATAGATGAATGGATAAAAAAAATGTGGCATTTATACACAATGGAGTATTACTCAGCAATAAAAAATGACAAAATCATGGCATTTGCAGGGAAATGGATGGCACTAGAGCAGATTATGCTAAGTGAAGCTAGCCAATCCCTAAAAAACAAATGCTAAATGTCTTTTTTGATATAAGGAGAGCAACTAAGAACAGAGCATGGGGGAAGAGCATGAGAAGAAGATTAACATTAAACAGGGACGAGAGGTGGGAGAGAAAGGGAGAAGGGAAATTGCATGGAAATGGGAGGAGACCCTCATCTTTATACAAAATTACATATAAGAGGAAGTGAGGGGAAAGGGAAAAGAACAAGGGAGGGAAATGAATTACAGTAGATGGGGTAGAGAGAGAAGATGGGAGAGGAGGGGAGGGGAGGGGGGATAGTAGAGGATAGGAAAGGCAGCAAAATACAACAGACACTAGTATGACAGTATGTAAAAACTTGGATGTGTAACTGATGTGATTCTGCAATCTGTATACAGTGGAAAAATGGGAATTCATAACCCACTTGAATCAAATGTATGAAATGTGATATGTCAAGAGCTATGTAATGTTTTGAACAACTAATAATAAAAAAAGTTCACGATTTTAGAAGTGCTAGAGAAAGTAAGGCAGAAATATTAAGATAATATTTGGAAAAAACAGGCAATTTCAATCTTTTGAAGAAACAAATTTAAAAAGTCAAAAAGATAAAATAAATTAGACCACATGTAATAAATAGAATGAAAACCAGGGTTTTTATTTCAGGTTATTAAAGTTTATTAAAAATAGTAAGAAACAAATTAATGCATAAAAATCAATAAGCTAAGGCAAATAACCGCTTCACTCTGTTGAAGGAGATAAGTAAGTTTGCAGGATTAACATCACATTATCTCACTCATTCTGAGGCTAAACACGAGGTGGAGAACTAAGAATGCTAAATCAACATGGGGCCACCAGATTTCAGGTCATCAACAGATGTTATCAGAAGTTTGAGGTGTAATTTAGTGTTTTGGCATAAGGGCATGGGATTCAGGGATGGTGAATCATGACATCATCTGTGTGGCAGATGACACTCCCACAATCTCCTCAATAGTAGTATCCAAAGCCAGAGCCACATCCATAACCACAGCCACAGAGAGAGCGGGAGCCATATCCATAGCCACAGCCATAGCCACAGCCCAGTCTGCGGAAGCCACAGCCATAGCCACAGCCCAGGCCTCCATAGCCACAGCCCAGGCCTCCATAGCCATAGCGTAGGCCTCCATAGCCACAGCATCCATAGCCACGGCCACCATAGTAGTTTCCGTAGTAGCTGCCACACATGGTGTTGGTTGTTGAGGTTGCCCTTGGATAGAGAAGGAGCAGGGGTAACTTGAGTCTGGACATTTCTCCCTGTAGAAGGCCTTTTATATGCCTTCAATGTGGGTGGGACCCACAAGGCATGTTGTGCCATTGGCTAATTTTATGACTGATCTCACTACTTTGTTGTTTTTCAATCACAAGATCAAGCCTCAGAGTTACTAAGGAAGCTTGTTTGTTTTATTTTTTATATTTTGAGTAGTTTTGCTCTGAAAGAATTCAATGCTAATAATGAGACAGTCGTACATACAAAACCCTGCATTGCACCACATATTAATTTGAGCTCCAGTTAGCATGCAGCATTTCTAAATGTACCATTTTAGCAAACCAACTTTGATTTGCTCTTGGTACAAAATAGAATCTATACTCTACTCCTTCCACAGCTAAAAGTAATTACTTTTTAACCAAAGCATTTTGCCTATAGTTTTTTTTTTTTTTTAATTATTTATCATCTTCATTGTCAGCACTCTCTCCACCTAAAAAGAATGCAGCATAGAAAATTTTAATGTTATTCACCTGTGTATAAAAATAAGAGCCAGTGTTCAGAAGTTTTGTGACTAACTAGCCTAAGCCAACTGCATCTCTACATTTTTGTTTTTATTCACACAACTTGCTTAATTTGCATATGTCTAATTCTTCTTCAGGGCAGTAAAAATAGTTTCATCTATGGATTTCAAATTTTCTTTGACTATCACCAGAAATAATAAAGATGATGATGATTATGATAATAATAGTAATAAAATAATAATAATGTATTCAATTTTATTAACTCTTTTAAACGTTGCCTTTTTTCTTTCTTTTTTTTTTGTACTGGAGATTTAACACAGGGGTGATTTCTCACTGAGCTACACCCCAAGCCCTTTTTGTTTATTATCACAACATTATTTTGATATATAATCTCATTAATTTGTTTAGGGCCTTGCTAAATTGCTAAAGCTAGCCTTGATCTTGTCATCCTCTGTCTCAACCTTCTGGGTCACTGGGATTATAAGTATGTGCCACCATGCCTGACTCCATTGCCATTTTTAATAGATAACATTTTGTAACTTCTTAGAAGTTTAAGAATATGTGCCAGTTATATGCTTATGAGCTTTAATCTATTTGAAATACTGTTGTTTCCCAAGACTGATTTAATTAAATTCCCCTCTAATCAACAGAAGAATCTGTTGAGAGTTTGGGATGTAATCAGTCACTATTCTAAGTGGTATTTTATTTCCTTCAAATATTTGATTTTACCAATCTATTAGATGAACATAAATTCCTTTGTAAAGACATACAATGTAAAATCAGAAGTCTACTTTTAATCAATTATACGGAACGCTCTGAGTAACCATTAAAATATTTTAAGATTTCATTATTTCCAGTCTGATTACCCAGGCTCTTAAACACACAGCAAAATGAAGTGAAACTTGTTATTTTCTAAACACCCACCCTTTGGGAACATGCAAGGAGGTGTGATTATACAAACATTTACAAAATTAACCTCCAAAGTGTGACACCCCAGTGATGCTTTGTGTTCTTCATATTACTTCCAAGCCGAGTCAAGGAGATGGAGTTGGCTCATGAAGCCATGAAGAGGGTTCAGGACAAGGACCCCTATGCACTTTAGCTGACCCTCCTTTGATGCTGGTCACAATATTTTCAGCCCACTCAGTTCATCTGCCTTGACAGTAATTCTTATTAGTCAAGAAAAAAACAGCCTCTTCATATAACAGAGCATTTTTTCTATTAATGATTAAATTAAATACCATAATTTTCCATGAATTTTAATGTATATTTTTTAACCTTTATTTTATTAATGACCATTAGTTGAAATAATATTGTAGCCATTTTTTAAGTCTTAAAAGTCTTATTTATTATATAAATTTGTGGAACAGCAAAAGGTATGACTAGTTAATTAACAAAATAATCATCAGGCAAGTCATTTTATAACTGGATAAAACATCTGTAGTAGTCTGTCATATAACTCAAGCTTCCCATTATAAATATTTATGAGAACAATTCTCTTAGAATTTCTTTTCAGGAATGATTCATCTCTTATGAAGAACTGATATTTGTTTTTATAATCTATGAGTCTTTACACACCATGGAACTTCGTTTTTTGTTTAATGGTGAAATTAATTTTGTGAGCAGGTTTTTAGTTTCAGTAGAGTTGAGAAGAAAGTAGAGAGAATTCCAATACAGCCCTGTCCCCCCTCACTGTGGACACTGTCCACCAGATCAGTGCATCTATGACAGATGAAACTTTGCTGACACATTTTTATCACTGGAGTCTGTAGTTCATGTTTACTGTTCATTCTTGGTTGTTGTACTTTCTTTCTTTAGGTTTTGACGAATGCTTAAAGACATCCACCCACCATTATAGTATTGTGAAAAACAATTTCACTGCCTTAAAAATCCTCGTTCTACCTGTTAACGTATGTTGGCCTTCTATTTTGTAAAGAGGGTTTGTCTACCCTGATGCTCGGAAATACAATTAATGCTTCGCTACAATGTAATTAATGAATGCTAAACAAACTGCAAGCAAACATTTCTCCAATTTACTCCCTTTAGTTTCCCAAAGTACTTTCTTAATAAATTATCCTTTTAACAGACAATTTTGCAAATGTGTGCCTAAGATGGCTACTTCCACCTTCTTTCTTACCACAGTTTGTCTCAATCGTCCAAACCATTGACCCACTGCTCCACTGAAAGTGTCCCCGTCAATTGTTGCCTGATGGAAGTACAGTTCATTTCTCTGTATTCATAAAAATGAAGCTCTGAAACAAAATTTAGGTCAGTTGGATTTCCTCTTCTTTCTTGACAGGCTCTTTCTTTTGTTATCCTTTGCATTAGACTCTCTTCTTTTACTTCCAATTTTCTCTTTTCAGGATTAAGAAAAAAAAAAATCTTTCCCACCACTTGACCTCATTCTCAAAACTGTGTTCATGGCCTTCCTACATCTTCATGCTTTTTTGATTATATATTCAACTGTCTAGTTGATAATTTTATTTTTTTCTTTAATAGCCATCAGAAATTTGACATCACCAAAACAAGAGTCCATGATTCTCATGATGGCACATGTCTCTTTTTCCCACAGCACAACAAACTCACACCACAGTCTTCCCCTGGAAGTGTATTCTTCATAGATTTCCATTACATGAAGAATAAATGTCATTCGATACTCTGTCACATCTCTCTGATAACATCTCCTACTACTTCCCTTCCAGTTTACCATGCTTCAAACATGGTGGGTCTCTAGCACCTCAGAGAAACCAAGATCTTCCCTTTGAAGACTTTTGCCTTTGTACTGCTGACCCCTCTTTCTGAAAATAGTTGCAGGAATTTCTGAATTCTAATCCACATTCTGGTATCACAGAACCATGTCTATAATCTCTGACCTCCATATTTAATATTGACTCCTCCATATTAATGATTAAAAATTATTCAACTAATTGATTTATATGATTTTATGAATTCTCATCACTTTCAGAAATTACTTCATTAAATTCTGAATTTCCTTGTCTTACATTGCCCGTCATCCCCCAGAATCATGAGAATAGGCACCTTAATGACTTTTTAATTTCTACATCCCATATGCTTAAAATGAAGTGTTAATAATAGAGTTATAAATATTAAGTAAAAAAAAACTGAAAAAATAAAATGTGGAGTAGTTTGTTTAAATTGAGATTGATAACAGAATAAATATCTCCTTACTATGTGTAAGGTTAATGAAGACAGAGTCTCTAGGATTTCTTAAAATCTAAGCAAAATTTTGGAATTCCATGTGTGCTTTATTTATAAGGTGGTCCGTGTCAATTAAAGATTAAGAATTATCCTTGTAACTTTATATATCTTTCTGATTATACATTCCTCTGTTTCCTTTTGTTGTATTTCTTTAACTTCAAAATATTCTGGGAATTTGGAAGCTAAACATGTGGAATTAATTACATTATTAGATAAATTGCATGAATTCCTATTTTGTACTACGTGCAACAATATGAATGAAGTTTAAGATATGCATTAACCCGTTCAAACAAATTCATTACCTTTGGTGAGTCAAATATTATAGTCTGTAAGATTAGGCAGCTAGAAATAAAGGTCTTGGTGTATTCAGGAAAATCTAAGGTTTCATAAGAGATAGATTCACCAGAAAAATTGTGATTAAGACATTAATGTCCTCAGGATTTTGATAGGCATCAGGGAATTTAAATACTCTGAAACCTTCTGTAGTAATTTGAAATAAACATAAAAATACCATGAATGTGGAACATAACATATTCTTGAACAAAGGGCTATGTAGTCTATATTCTAAGCAAGTAAAGCTGATTCTCAAACTGTTTCTGTGCTTATCTAGGATTTCAACCTCAAATGCAAAGCTTTTGCAAATACAAAAGGAACACATGAAATAAAAGGCTCTAACACAGAAGAAGTAGGGTTTTAACATCTATGATTCTATGTGAAAAGCAATTCAACAAGATATTCTTTTTCACATGAAAATAAAACACCGTATTAAACATAAAATAGATCCATCTGTATTCACTCAATTTATCCTGTCTTTATGACTCTTCCTCCACCTCCTATTGATGGTCTCCTACATCTCCCCATGCCATTTTTTTTGATTTCTCATCAAGATAAAATAAGTATTAAATCAACCCTACTACTACTAATAATAATAATAATAAATAGAATGAGTTTTTTTTCACTTTTTATAAGTTCTCATGAGACTGAGTTCACAAGTAAACAAACACTGTATATTTAGAAAACAAGTTTTGTATTTAAGGCACCTGACTACATTATTAGCATCCTGACTCCACAATAGAGTCCCTGGTATATTGGTTATGAGGAATGAATTCTTGAAATTTTTCTTATGGTTAACCAGTTTGGAAATGAGTCCAGCCTATCTGGCTTTTTCACATACTGTTCAGGTTATGAAATTCAAAACCAAGGGATTGGTTCAAGTCCTCAACTAGACCTTTCATTTCTGGTACCATAGGCTGTTATGGCATTGACTGTGGCAGCCTGAGGCTCCAGTGACCTGGGTTGCA